CGCAGGGCCTCTTCCGAGTGGCTCCGTCAGCCTCCAAACTGAAGAAGCTGAAAGCCTCCCTGGACTGCGGCGTTCTCGATGCGCAGGAGTACTCGTCCGACCCGCACGCCATCGCAGGTGAACGCCGACGACAAAGATCGTTTCCGTTGCGACGACGACTACCGTGCCTTCTTTTAAAGGAGACGTGATCGCATTTTTTTTTTCCTTCTTTAAAACTTAAAACAGTTGCCAGCAGACTTCATGGCATGTGCGTGTGACACGATTTCACCCAGGCGTTGCAACTAGGCCAATGAATGGCTCCTGCTTGTGGAAGCAGAGCCCAGTGGGTGAGAAAAATAAGCAAATGCGCATCAAGACAAGAAGCAAGAACAGCTTTTTTTTGTTTTTCATTCATGGAGGCAGCACTTTGTACGTTTTCTTCTCTTATGTTGTTTGCGTCCGGCTTTATAAAGTCGAACATTTTCGGAAAGCCGTGCCCCGTTCTTGGGAGCTCTGGAACGGTTTGCTTCCATTTGCGTTCATTTCGGTGGCGTCCCATTTGGAACCGTCGAATGATTGCTCGTGCCTTGAAAAAGAAGAAAAGAATTCAATGAAGCTGACGTGTCTCACGCCCACAGGCGCTCTCAAATCGTACCTCCGCGAACTTCCCGAGCCGCTGATGACCGCGGAGCTTTACGACGAGTGGATCCAGGCCTCCAAGTGAGTCTCTTGTCGGACACTTCATTAGGTACGCCTATTCGACCCGCCATCGCTGGCGCCGGTTTCTCCCTCCGATGCCCCCGTGTTCTTTTTCAACCGCGGCTACAATTGCTCAGCGCCCGTGCGGCGATGTCATTTCCTGACATTCCCGAGCTCGAGAAAGAATTGACCACGGCTCGCTCTCTTGGACGATGCTCACCAAGCACGTCGTCTCGGGGCTTTGCCTTTGGACACGCAAGGTGAAGGTTTCCGCCTGAGCCGAAGGAATAGCGGCAGATGGGGCGGGTGTACCTAATCAATTGGCGTGCCTGAATCTGTCGGCCTCATTTGCGGGCCCTCGTTTTCCCCGATTAGACACCACGGGTCATCCTTCTGTTTCCCCAGCATTCAAGATATGGACAAGAGACTCCGAGCATTGATGGCAGCGTGTGACAAACTGCCCATGGATAACTTCAACAACTTGAGGTCAGTCACTTCCTTTATTTTTGGGGTGGGGAGGGGGGCGGATTCCTCCTGTTTGTGTTGCCTGGAGGTCCGCCAGAGAAATGGAAGGATGGAAGGGCCACTTTCAAATTTGAAAAAGCAATTGGAGGTCGTCTCGTTCATTCCCTCGGCTTTCTTTTCAAGGTGTTACGGAAAATAATGAAGGATTGCTGCAATTTTTTGCGCTGCCCTTTATCTCACAGAATAGATCCACCCCTGCACTTCACAGCAACCCAATCCCATCTAGCTCCACATTCAGATCCCCCCCCCCCCACACACACACAAAAAGGAACAAACCCTCGTAAGGTGAGCATTTTTCATACCGTGACTCGAGGATCATTCATCCCACGCCTTCATCCATCAGCCATCGAGCACAAGGTGGAAAAAATTATTTTAAAATGGAACGATCCTCTTTTGAAGATCAATTGTTTTATTCTTGGAATCATTTATTCGTCTCTTCGAATAGTTTGACAGTCCAGCCTCCCTTCTCGCTCTGCCCACCTGCACCTTTGACAACTAACCTTGCGGCCCGTGTCATTTTTGGTATTTTCTTTTTTCTCGCTCATGTCGGGGGGCTGCTGAAAAATGGGTGGTGAGCCGCAAATGGCCCCGGGGACGTAATTTGGGCACCTTCTGCCCTAAACGGTGTGAGGGACAACGTTACATTTGGATTAACCGCCTAAAGATAAAAGCAACGTCAAGGTGTCTTCGTTTTGGGCTCGTGTGTGGCTTGCCAGATAAGCCCCGTGAATGAACTGCGAGCGGCAAACAAAAGTCTTGAAGGTGTGTGTGTGTGTGTGTGTGTGTGGTGTGCGTGTGTGTGTGTGTGTGAGACCACCACAGATATCTGGTGAAATTCTTAGCCAAACTGAGCGAGTACCAGGACGCCAACAAGATGACGCCTGGCAACATGGCCATCGTCCTCGGCCCCAACTTGCTGTGGACGCACACCGAGCCGTACGTATCCATAGCAACGGGTCCCTTCTCATCCACGGCGGGAGTTGCGAGCGTGTGGCCCCGCCCCGTCTTTGCAGGGACATGACGGAGATGATGACCACGCTGTCGCTGCAGATCGTCGGAATCATCGAGCCCATCATCCAGCACGCCGATTGGTTCTTCCCTGGAGGTGAGCGTCGCAATTCTCCAGCGCTCTCACGTTCATCAAATACCGCGTGCACGTGTGCGTATTGATGCAAGAGGACCTTTGGAAGACGTGTCCAAACAACGTCGCTGCGCGCCAAAGGTTTCTTCAAGTTACGCAGCCCATTTCTCGCAATTTACTCGTGAAGCGACTTTTTGCCTCCCTCTGATTTTGTCTTGCGTCGCGAGCAACAGATGGTGGCATCCAACTCGGAACAAACGGTTTGATGGATCTCGGGCGGGTCTTCAAGAAACAAGTGGAATGTGCTTCAGCATGAAATCATGCTGCACAAACTGTTGAATTCTTGACATTTTTTTTTCATAGATATGGTTTCAAAAAACTGTCGAGTTCCCTTTGTTTCTTTCAAAGGTGCTGGTTGGAACGAACGAACGAACGAACGGCATTTCTATTCCTATGAATGTTTGTGAGTATGAGGCTCTGACAGTAACCCCCCCATCCTATCAAAATCAGAGATGGAATTCAACCTAACCGGCAGCTACGGCAGCCCCGTCCACGCCAACCACAACTCCAACTACAGCTCCATGCCGTCCCCCGACATGGAGCAGTTGGAACGCAAGCAGCCGCACCACGACCAGAGCCGGCGCCCCCTCAGCGTTGCCACGGACAACATGATGCTGGAATTCTACAAGAAGGACGGGTAATGATGACGCCCCCACGCGCTTGTCTTTTTCCCCCAATCATCCCCACAGGTGTACCCTTTACACCGTCTTGCTTCTGTCAGCCCATTTTCTGTGCTCCCCGCTCCCCCTCCCCTTTTGACCATCACCCATCTGGCCGCTATCCAGGAATGAATGACACTGTCTCCATGGCGACGCGGCCCCGTTGAGGCGGCCGCTCCTCAAATATTTCTCCCATCCTCCCACGGCCTCCCACACCCCCTCCTCCCCAGTCACTGTCACTGTGCTCTCATCAGAAGCCGCTGTGACAAAGCGCGGGCCTCACCGGGGCCGTTTAGAACCGCCAAAGGCCAAAGATCATTTGCGTGTCCCGAGCATGCCGTTGAGCAGCGTGTACGTGAAGCAAGTTTCTGACATCGTGTGCCCTTCTTTCCCCCTCCCCCCCGTGACCCCCCTTACGAATGCAGCATTAGGAAAATCCAAAGGTACTGTATCATGGCCTCTCCCCACCCTGACCTCTTTCCCACATGCTCATTTCCACTTTGTGGCTTTACACTGCAGCTAATGATTCCTTCGCACGTGTGTGTGTGTGTGTGTGTGTGTGTGTGT